GGGAAAGAGAATAGTGTGATGCCATCATATTTAAATGTAGCACACAATTCTATAAAACTTGTTATATGTAAATTCAGATCCTTAGATGGTGTTCCCCCAAATTGATTATTTTGTACCATTTGTATAATAACATGTTTAAGTTCAAGTGAGTTAGTCGTTATAGCAGGGTTTTGAATACTTAAATGAATTTCATCTGCTGTAGGATTTATATAATCCCTTAAAGGTCTTTGTAAATTATGATGTTCATTTTCAGCATTTTGATTCTCAATTTTATTTTGTGATAAGTTTGTCATTTCTTGAAAGTTGTGAAGTCTTTTTTATTTTCTAATTTTTTTAATTATTCATTCTAATTCAGAATCATAGGGGACTAAACCTTCAGATCCCAAACTACGTATGCAAAAGATAAAATTTCATAAAATAAAACAACTCAAACAAAAGAAAAATTCTTTAAAAAAATTTGTATTTTTGAGTTTTTGATTTTTTTTTTAATTTTTCGGTCTTTTTTTTTAAAGATTTTTGAAAATTAAAAAGTGTTAAACTAAGTTTAAATTTTCTTAAAATTGATCTACAATTCAAATATAATTTTTTAAGTTAGTAAAAATTCTATTGTGTTCCCCGACAAGGACGCCAAAAACTTAACCCAACCCTTAACTACGCAGATTTTTTTAATTCCAAAAGAGTGAAAAAAACTTGTCCCAAATTCTATATAGCGGCTAGTGTGGATAAATGAAATGATATAGAAAACAGACAATGTTTTAACACTAGTGGTAGTACGCACGTATACGTATCATTTCAAGTAATATAGAATTTTCTTTAAAAATCCCAATATTGATCCAATGAGGAAAGCAGAAATTCTTAATACTGACTTACAAAACTTCTATCTATATTACAAAAAATATACTAGGAAAACAAAATTGAAATGTTGGTAAAAGTTTAGCACTAAATTTAGGCAGAAAAAAAACAAAGATTAAAAGACTAACAAAGTATAAAAGATTAAGAATGTTTAAAAGAGAGTTTGAAATATTATGAAAAGATATTTCCTCTTGCAAAGAGATGTTAATTAGTGTAGAATTTGAATGATGAAGAAGTTAAAATGATGTATTATGCCAAATAGGAGCATTCCTATTCTTCACCCCCCCTCTCGGTGCTAGCAAAGAACATTGACTAATCCAGAGTTTTTCACCAGCTTGTGCAATAGTGCTGAGTAGATTCTGGCCTCTCACTTCAAGATAACCCACTGTGCCCTCTCTATAAGACCTACTAGGGACCCTTATAACCCAAACTCTAGACCGAATTGATAAAATAATCTAGTCTGCCACTCTAGAAACATCAATTCTATGTCTATCAAAACTTATCTCACTATTTATTTGCACTCCCCTCAGGTTATCGCAACAACTCTGCCCAGGATGAAATGTGGTACTCACTAGTTGGTGAAATCATAACCCTCTTGGGTCATTATATTTCTAACGGATTTTACGATACAAATGACCTGTTTGCAAAGTCAATGAAGAACCAATGAAAATACCATCACAATTTTTTTTTAAAATTAAAAGAGATATTCAAATCATTCTCATCCCACAAAATTAATTCCCATATGCAATGAGAAAGAAAGGGAACTACTCTGAATTCATGGAGATAAAACAAAACACATAATTTATATTGAAATTCAAGTCTTACAACAAAAACTTAAATACAAATACAAGATACTTATCTTTATGTCTTCTCCCCAAGCAAATACTGAAGTTTCCTTAAAGCCAATCTCCAAACTCTTACACAAAACAAAGTCTCTCACTCACACACACACACACACACACTTGAACCTTCAAGAAGCCTTCTCCAAGCCTTCCAAAAGTCCTCTCCAACACTCCAAAAAGACTCTTTTTTCGTCAAGAATTTTACCCCTATTAATAGAGAACTAAAAATAACCAAGTGGAGTCACTTCAAGCACCCCATCAAAATTTGGCCAAATTTAATGAATATTCTAGAACGTTGGTTACTGGTGTTATAGCGCTAGTCTGATGCGCTATAACGCTTAGCCCGCTCAATACGTTGCGCTATGACGCCAAAGGTGATGCTATAATGCCATACAAAATCTTTCATTTTTGCTCCATTTTGTTCTTATTTTCTCCAAATATCTATTCCATGTACCTGAAACCAAAAACATGCAAAATATCTTTCTTTAAAGTGCAATATCATTAAAAATAAGCTTAAAACGAGCATAAAATGTACACTAAAAATATTTTATTTTTAGGTAAATCACCCAACTATAGGATAGTTGATATGTCACCGATTTTCTCAATATCTTCAATATCTCATACTTTTTCTTTCTTTGTGTTATGTCAATAACTATTCCATCTTTGAGCTTTTTCCATTTAAAATTTTTTATAATCAACCATGAAAACCTAAATTTAGAAACTTTCTTGAAGATAAAGCCCCAACCTTAATAGAATTTTCTTAATTAATTTCAATTGCTTAAAATATAATTAATTATAAGGGTTTGCCCTTATAGAAAACTTGTAACCCATATTTAATATAAATCCTATTTAGTTTTTGGATTAGAGAATGATTTGTCGATTTTAATTATAGTCCATTACAAATATCCAAAATATCTTAATTTAATTAATCAAACATATCATAAAGTGGTATTTCTATCACTTCAGATAGTATATTAGTTTTGATGTAGTGTTTGATTTTTTAAATAAGAAAATACACGAATCTGTATGGTTCTATAAAGATATTATACATTGTTGAAAAAATAAAATCTCACAATCTTATATGTGACCTAAGCATTATAATGTGAGCATGCATAATAAAATGATTAATATGAGTTAATTATTAACAATATAGTGTGGAAAAATAATACAATTTGAGTTAGATTGTGATTAAACAATTTTTGAACTTCGATTGAATGCCGCTTAAATCATGTTCTAACACCGCTCCAGACTTAGAATAGAAACTTATTCCACCCATGATTAAGCTTGTCAAATCATGTTCAAATTTTATTAAAATTTTTATAAAATCTTGCTCAAACTTTATTCCAATAAAGTTCAAATCACATGTAAATAAATATTCACGCCTAATTTGAATCTTGAAAAATTATTCTATGTTTGTACCATCTTTGATTCATATTTAAACTCTGTTCAAATATTTTTAGAATCATTTTCTAATTTTGATTGCATCATTTTCAAATTTTAATTGGACCCTATTCTAAAATGATATTCGATCAATGTTGAAAGATAACTAAGAATAGCTATGCGCTGACTAATGTCTTAATTGACTAATGTCTTTTTGGGTTTAGTGTTTAGGTGCTCAAAATTAAATAATCAAATGTATTTTATCACTAACCTCACATAGCTATGTAGAGACAGACAAAAACTAACATAATAATCTAATAATATATGCTCAAATATCAGTGACTATTAAAAGGGCAGGGCATTAAAAAAAAGTTAGAGGCTGAGCATCTTCTTATTGTAAAGTTTACACTTTTTGTGATAATTTTGAAGTTCTGTTTCTATAAAGTGTGTTTATGGTCGCATGAAATGAATGTCATATTTTTCAAAGAGTATATACATGAAGAGCATGAGATAGACAATTATACTCATTATACGTTATCTTAAATATAATACCCTCCAGCGCGCCGGAGACGATTTTGCTTCACCACGCTAAGTTTATGGTCGCATGAAATGAAGCTGTCATATTCAAAGAGTATATAGATGAAGAGCATGAGATAGACAATTATACTCAACATACATTATCTTAAATATAATACCCCCCAGCGCGCCGGAGACGATTTTGCTTCACCACGCTAAAGAAAAAGCTGAACTACAGCATTTTTTCAATTAATCATTGGTGTTAAATAAGACGGAGAGGGAGAAATGGAGCTGCCAAAAGCACTTCTAAAATCAAATATCTGGGCCCCAATGGTCGAAAAGCAGATAAATCGGATGCACAGCGTGCGTGGTGCGCTGCAGCAAGGCCGACCCTGTTTTCAATGGAGTGATTTGAAAATGGTCTCCGCAGGTCTTCAACCGAATAGAAGACTGGAATGAACGGCCCAGAGTGGAACTTTTTCTCCTACCCGCATGCCCTTTGCTCTGAACTGGTGAGCATTTCCTTGAATATCATGGGCTGTGTATTTTTTATTTTCAAGCAAAGGTTTAGATTTGTGTGGCTCGCAGCTGCTTGTATATATTCGCCATCGTACCGTTTTTGAATTTTTGCCCTTTTGTATCTTCAAATGGTTGTTCAGCTCGAAAGGTAGGGTTTTCTTTTCGAAATTGGCGGATAGAAATTTCAGCTTGGTAGATTTTGTTATGGTTTGAGCATTAGGGGTTTTAAATTTGCTTCACTGTGTTTAGCCATATGAATTTTAAAAAATATTGTTGTTGGATTTTTTAATTTCTTTGATTTCGGGTCGCAGGATCTTGAATCTCTATCTTTTCTTAACTTTTTTTTTTGTCCTGGTTTGGTCTTTTTTTGTGTTGTAGACCAAGTAATACTCCCAGGGTTTGATGCGGACAATGCTGACGTCTTAGGATATCAGAGATGGATCACGGAAGTGGGATTTGGAGGAGAAACCCCTCTGAGAAGAACTTAGGTGAGTCTGAGAGCTCGGGTTCAGTCTCCTCCTATTCTGAGAGATACTCGGAGGAGCAGGTGCGGTTTTCCTTTCCTCTTCTGAAACTTCTTTTCTTTCAGTCGCTATTGCATTTTGTCTTTTTCGAATATGAGAAGCTTGAATGCTCATCAGGAATTGATCTCTGGAGAACTTTTAATTATTCACATTTAGCTTGTGTTCTTATGTGACCTCTAGGCTTCATCCATGAGACGAGACGTTTGTAAATGCCAGCATGTGTCTCACCTTTTTTATTTTCATTTTAGTTGTATTTGCAAATGCCCTTTCTGTCCCTCCTCTTCTGCATATCTATTCTTAACAAAAAAAAAAAAAGAAAAAAAAAAAAACTAGCCAATATCACTACCCATTATCCCACTAAGTGGCGTCTGTATATCAAATAAGATCATTAAAAATTTATTGGTGTCTGTATATCAAATAAGATCATTAAAAATTTATTGTGATTTGCTTTGCATTTCTAATTGTGTGTTTGATTGGCGAAGAACATATTAATCACCCAGTCCATAATTTGGCTCAGGGAAGAGTGGTTTTCCACTTTTTAGTCTTCTTGGTAATTATGCCATTCTTTTCTTGTTTTGAATTATATGCTTTAATACTCTGGCTTTAAGAGGATGATTCTCAAGAAAAGGAAAAAAAAGATTATTGGTCATTCTCCTGGGTCTTCTGCTATTTGGTACTCTTAAATGCCACATTAAAGCAATATAGCTTTATGTTAATGGAGACACTTTTAGTCCCTTTAACAAACAGTTGTAAGTCTATTGTTTTCAATGATTACCTTAAATTCTAAAGTTGGTATTGTAATGAAAATCAAAAGAACATTGATGTCCTAATTCTTTTCGCGCATTATCTTGGTATGAAATAATAATTTATGTACACCAAATAGATGAATCAATCTGTACAGTAGCATGAAGTAATCACCTTTGTTTAGTTGACACTTGCTTGGAATCGGGTGGCACACCCAAGCCGCAAGAGTTCTTCGCCTAGATCTTTGGAGAACTTGAGTAGGCCAGATACCCACTCACCTAAATACAATGAAACTCAAAGTTTGTCCCTTCAAGCGCCTTCTTCATACACCATGGACCTCAATCATGAGGTCCATTTGTCATGATCTTATAATAAATGTATTAATAAATTTAGTTTTCTCTTGTATATTCCTGTTTGCCTTAAGCACTTAAAAATATAAGGTCAATGGACAGATGACAAATAGGTGTAATATTTTGTATCTCTTTTTATAGTGAGTAGAATACTTGAAACTTTTCCTTAGATTACTTCCTTCATCTCTTTCTTTCTCTACATTTACTTTTCCTTTTTCCTTACGTTATCTATCTCATAATATTGAGGTTTGGGTGTTATCTACAAATGGTTTAGAGTCTGACATTGCAAGAGCCTTATCATTATAACCAAGAGACCTCACAGATCATGGAGAATCAGAAATTCATCACCAATGGGTAACATATAGGGATGGAGGAGAGGATATTATGAATGATCTAGGTCGCCCTTGAGTGGGTTTCACGTGTTGTTCCAAGAACCAAAAACTCCAAAAGTTTTTTAAACTTCATCATTTGATGAAACTAGCAAACAACTAAGTGTTAACCACCACTAATATATTTAATGACAACTATTATTTCAACATCAAAAGATATTTGCTCCCCTCAGTCTGGAAAGATGAGAGATGATCACAACAACTTTTAAACACATTTTGTAGAAGAATTGTAAAAGAGAATCCCATAGGAAGTTCGGGGCACTGCATTTTGAATCATGTAGTGGGAGAACCGATCCAACTAATTTTGTCATTTTGGTACCTCCTTGTTCGATATCAACAAAACTTTGTATTGACATTTGTTTTTCATCACCGTCTAGGAAAATGACACTTTGATGGTTCATATCCTTCTATTTTGAGTTATTACTTCATCGAGTTCAAGAAAATAGTCATTGTAAGGTTTGCTAGTACACAAAGGCTGCTAAAGAACTCAAAGTCTCTCTTGAAGATGAGAGATGACCCAAAAGAGTCTGGAACTTCATTGTAAGTGTCAAAGGCATATTCTTGATGTTATAATTTGGAGCCCATATTAGCACACGTCACCCTCAAATAAGGGTAGTGAGAAGGACACTTTGGATACACAATCGACTTTTAATAGCAATGGAAGTTAGTTGTGTTATTAGAGTTGGATAACAACCACGATGATGTCGAGGAATATAACAACATTACTAAATCTTCCACATTAGCTCCCCAAGGATTTTAGCCCACATACATGAATCCCAAGGCGATCCCATTGGTGGCTTAAGTTGAAATTGGAAGCAAAAGGTGTAAAGGAGAACCATAGGGAGGCCTTTGGGTAGGCTAAAACATGTTCATTCGTATCAACTCAGAAGGGTTCACTCTCATATAAGAGACCACCAAAAATTTTCGAACCATCCCAACCTTCTAAATGAGAAGAGTGTGCTAGATCATGATGGCAAGAGACAGGACCATCACTACTTCACCATTATTTGTTCTCACCCCCTATGAATGTCTATGACAGAGATGTGGGAAGCCGTTCAAAATGAGGCGTCTTGCGACATTACCAATTAAAGCACGAGGAACCTTGTGGGATGCATCTTGATTTTGCGCTTTTATAAGGACCACGAGCATTGCACGGAGGAATATTAGCATCCAAGGAATTTAGTAAAATTTTTAATCAGAGCTAGCAAGCTAAACAAGTTTATCCTTGCCAGCCCTAAGAGGAGATTAGGAAATGAGTTTGTGGAGGACAAGAGTAACGAACCAAGAATGTCGGCATATGAGAAACTTAGTCTAAGTATCAAAGAATTAATCAGAAATAGCAAGCTAAATGAGTTATCCTTGCTGATCTTTGGAGGAGATTAGGAAAGGAGCTTGTGGAGGATCAAAGAAATAAACCCTGACCTACAAAAAATGCATATAGCGGGGGTGTTACCCTTCAGGCAAGTCTCAACACACTTCGGTGGGGAAAGGCAAACATGACTATGGCATCTAGCTTGCCTATTGCGGAGATCACACTTGTCATCCTTACAGAGGTTGATAAGCAACTAAGCATAAATCCCATTCAATTATGCTATAGTGGTTATAGCTCTGAGTGTCAACCGCTAAATTGGAAACATCTTGATCGAGATAGGAAGTTACATCAACTTAATTTTCATGGGAGCGTTTGATGAGATGAATTTGGAAGGAGTATATCTAACGCCCACTATTTACTGAACTTATGGGTTTTTAGCGAAAGGTGGGAGACAAAAATGATGATGGCTTTTCGATTAGCTAGGAGAGGGCCAATAGATTGTCATGGTTGATTACATAATCATGGATACACTAGCTACCTAATCCACATTTGAAGCTTTCATAGTAGATGTGCCAACTTATTAGAGAAGAGTGGTAATCGCAAGAGAAAATTTGATACAATCCCAAGCTTGTTATCTCGAAGTTGTGGAGAGTGTGCAGGAGACCATCTAGATGTATATAGAAATGTTGGGTTGGGACCTTAGAGGAAGTAAAAGGGTTTCAACCAACGATGGGAAACCAGATTGTACACTTCATTTATGTGCCACCTTCAGCACAGACCACAGGGAATAGCTGACATAGTTCATTTTCAAGGACATTGTGGAATTTTCCTGGAGAGCCTTGAAAATGTAGAGGATTGATGTCAATTTTTCATATCATCTGCTTTAGGGTGTGTTTGGGGTAGCTTTTCAGCCGCCTTTTGTTTTGAAAAGCAAATTTGGTTCATTTGGGAGCCCGCTTTGTTAGTGTGTTCGTCAAAGAAAAGTTGAATGCAAAACAATTCCGAGTTAGGTGCGTTTTGCGGTTTCGAGTCAGGGCACATCATTGAAGTTAATCATGAGTTTGAAGACAAAACGGTTTCCATGTTGGGGCTCGATTCCACAAAAATGTGCTATAGTGTGGTGGGGAAAATACATTGCTGCATTCCCTATCTTATTCACGATATTACACCCTAGTTTTGGCTTCTCCCCGTATTCGTTTTCGGCATCTCGAGTTAGGGCACATCAGTGAGTTTTTTTTCCTCATCCGTCTTCTTGCCTTTGAATCATCTATATGTATATCGTTCTTTCTTTGGTTTTGGTCACACGAAGAAGTTTTCTATTTATTGTTCTCGTTTTTCTTCCCTGCCGCTGGATTTCCAGATTTCGATCTTCTCTATATTGACGAGTTTGATTGTTAGTTTAGGGTGTGCATTCTAAGCTATTTGGGTTTTGTATTCCATGCTATCTACTTCGAATTTGTGGATGGTTATTTCATTTTCAATTTTTGGGGGATTTGTTGTGTATTTGTGTTGCTCTGTGCGTATTGCTGAAAACTTAGGTGTGAGCTTTGCAAGTGCATAAGAATTGTGCTCTCACTTCTGTTTTGGGTATGCGTTCCATGCTATTCTGGATGAGGCTGCTTTGTTTTGAGGTTTGGTTGGCTGTGGTTGGGTTGTTTTGATTGGTTTTATTTGGCTGTAGTTGTGGTTGCTCTGGTTGGGGTTTGTTTGGCTGTAGTGAAGGCCCAGACAGTAGGACAACAATAGGAAAAGCAGCTGTAGGGAGGTTCTGGGTGATGGCCACAAGGAGGACAGTGGTGGGTTGATTTCCTGGGTGGCAGCATCAAACTGTAAGAGGAGGAATGTCTGAAAAGGCTGGGCTGGAGACTTGAAGACAGGTTGCTGTTTTTCTGGGGGCGGTAGCAAGCGTGGACAACGATGAGGATGAAGGGGATCAATGTAGGATTGAGTGGGAAAGGGTAGAAGGGGATAAACACCACCTTGGGAACAAGATACAACCGGAGCACCACTTGGAACCCTTGGATACAAGCCTAGAAAGGAAATTGAAATGAAACGCAGTAAAAATTGAATCCTAAGCATCACAAAAACAAATATATAGTCCTAGGATAGCTAGGAGTGGACACACTCTCCTTGGGCGGAAATTCCAAGGTCCTGAAGAGCCGGTCTGCCCCTCAAAAGCTAGGACCAAACCAGTCCAGGTGCACCCCAGCTGGTTCAACATTCCAAGCGCAGACACCTGTATCACTAACACTTCTAAATATAGGGTCAGAGGACATAAGATGGGATTGTTATAGTATTTTGTTCCACTTTCTATAGTAAACAGAATACTTTGAGCTTTTCTCTTTATAGTCCTTTATCTTCCTCTTTTTTTCTGCTACATTTTTTTTTCTTTTTCTATAGTGCCAACTAGTAAGGTTTGGTTATCATACATGAACTGGTTTGGATCTAACGCTATTCAAGAAAATAAGATGCCCCTTCACTTGGTTCTGATCATATGTATGATAACCTTGTTTCTTTTAAGCTCTCCAATACCTTTTATTTGCATCCCTTATTTAATTTGAATTTACCTTTGTACATATGTTTAGATTTTGGTGGCCATTGTTTTGTAGTGAATAGTATTAACGTTTTCTTACACCTTTCGTGCCATTGGAATTAGGTTATGTAATACATTGTTGATCTTCTATGCATAAGAACTTTCTTCAAAAGTTATTTGAGCCATGTTCTGATTTCTTTTTTAATCTAACGTTAGAACTTTAATGCTTACATCACTGCTTGTTCCTGCCCAATTTATCTTGATTTCCTCAAAAATGACTACTGTGTTGATAATTGAACCTTAAAAAATAAATGAATTATTTCAAAAGCAACGCTTGTCACGCATTTATAAATACTTGATTCGCTTGCAACTATTTTTTTTTATGAAGATCGCATTTCCATGATGACATTACTTGATTCGTTTGCAATGGTTCATGAAGATCTTATTATGATTAAAATTTTCTTCTGAACCTACTTAGCCAGAGAATAAGGAGCGTCTTTTTTCGCTTTACAATTTTTTGCTTCAAGACGAACCATTGTGGCTACAACAGTTGTTTATTAAACCATTACTATCCTATGATAGCTCTGCTTCCGCATTTTATGTGTGCATTATTGTGTTTCTTTTGGTTACGTAGGTTGGATGGATGAAATTTTGATAATAGCTTAATTAATGTTTTGCTTTTCAGGAGGTATTTGGCTCTTTTCCCAATGAAAGTTCTATAAAACATGCTCACTCATTAGAAATTTCATTGATTAATGAGGGTAATGAAGGACCTGCAACTGTCAAGAGTTTAAATGAGAAGCTTTCTGCTGCTCTTTTAGATGTTGCAGCGAAAGAAGATCTGATAAAGCAGCATGCAAAAGTTACAGAAGAAGCCATTTCAGGTAATCTAGGGCAACTTCATCCTTCGCTCTTAAGAATTTCTTAATCATTGCAAATTTTTAAGTATTGGCTCAGCAAAGGTTGATCGTAGATTAATCTGTCTTGCTCCTGAACAATTTATTTTCACTTTGCAGTAGGTTCTTACTTTTAGTCGTATCCCTCTTAAGTAATTTCAGAATGCAAAAACTTTGTACATCTGTCTCGATATATACTATTTTATTCCTGCTACACGTGCTTAACAAGTCACATTAAAATCTAATGAAACTAAGATTTTGCTTTTTGATCTTATGGGGAAGTCTAATGGAGTAAAAGCTGAGAAATGTCAGTTCCAAAGCTCAATTAATTTTATGTTATTAGAAGATTGACATTAAATTAATATTTTTGTCAGGCAATTAGTTAAAAATTATAAAGTTGAACTAAAATATGTTTGCATAATTTTTATTTTATTAATTTTGAAAAATTTTGATCAAGTACTATAAGAATGATTTAAGTGTACGTTAAGGAGAATGTAAGCATGTCAAAGTACAGTGAGGTTAATTGATGATGGAGTGATTACTAACATTAGAAGCATCAATCAAGTGGCAGAAGAGTTTCTAATCAATATAAGTTAAGATAAAGAAGCATTAATATAATTTTATGCTGTATTATTAAAATTGAGATACTTATGCCTTTTGGCAAATGACATTTCTTGTACCCGAGGTTTCTAATGAGTTGAGTGAGAAATGTGAATAATATGTATGAAAATTGTGATGAGAGGCTTAACATTAGTGTCAAAGTGTCACCCTCCAATCATTGTTATTAGCCATATTTTAACTATTCAAAGTCATGGATCTTATTTCTTCATTCATTGTTGCAGAGTGCGTCAAAGTCAGTTTTATGGATCTTATTTCTTCATTCATTGTTGCAGAGTGCTTAAAGAGGTTTTAAATCTATTCAGCAAAGATTTTTTTGCACAACTTATATGTTGAATAATGCTGAACGTTTGTTCTCGAGTTCCTTCTGACATCATTATAAGCTACCTTTATTAAAATATATTATATCCACCCAACCATATATTGATTGTTAAATTTGAATTAAGAAAAATAAAATAAAATAAATAAAAAGAAATTAAAGTAAATAAAGTCCTACCCACTCCCGCCCGATGATGCTCTTACTACTCTCGCTTCTCATTATGAAAATAACCGAAGAGTCCTCTCCATTTTGGGGTTCAAAAAGCTGAGCCAAAGGAACTTTGACAAATCACCACCCTTCTCTTCATTTCACATGATAGAGAAGAAACTTTTGGTTCCTCACGCTCGCTCACAGCCTCATAGAAGCCCTCACCTGCCTTTACGATGCAGTCATGGTTAGAGCCAGATTGGAAAGCAATGTCGGGCGACATGCAAAGACTTTTGAAACTCCTAAATATCCCTCTCGTGGCCTCAACAATCACAATACAGACATGACTAGGGCTTGCCAATTATAGAATCATATATACAGGAACCTTTAAAACTCCCGTCTTTCTCTCTTGCGCATCTCTTCTTCGATACAATAGCACGGTCATGACTAGGGCTTGATGGGAAGGTAATGACGGAATCAAGACATACTCCCATCTTTCTCCTCTTTTAGCCTCCTTTCATCTTCCTCTCACCATATCTCCAACCTAAACGCAACGACAGAATGCAACCTACAAGTTAACTGGATCATGGCATACATAACATCAAAACTCTAATTGTTCTCTTCAGTTCAATCCCTCTCAAGATGGAAAACAACGGGATCGTGACACACAAAAACAACCAAAGTTTCCTCTTGTCGACGACCATTCCATTACGATTAGTGCTAGCTGACAAAGCAACGACGATGCAGCGGCGTACAAAGATCAGCAAAATTACCACTTTTCTTATCCTGCCATCCCTCTTACTTGAAACCACTAAGATACCACGACTTTTGTAGAACAAAACTCACTCCCACATTCTCACCGCCTTCCAGACGAGGCTTTCAAGGCTGGTATCAACTTCTTCAACAACGCTTTGATATATCTTGTGCCTCAGCATAGAGCAACTCAAGGAAGGAGCGAGGAATTACTGTGGAATTTGGGTGTGGCAGTAGAGAACTCTTCGAAATCATGTAGCCTTGGCTACTAAGTTGTTAGCAGTGTTGTCAGATTAAGGCATTGTCCTTGAAAATTCAAAACATGGAACCGTTGCTATAATTACCAAGGCCGAGCCTCATGACTGCAATACAAGCTATGCACAAGGAGATTATTTGTGTGATGAAGAAACAATAAGGGTTGTTTGCACAAAAGGTTTAGAAAGGATTAAGGAATTAATAGTTATGAGTGCATCATTTGATTATGGAGAAGATGGGCAGCTTCATCTTGCAAAGGATGGGGGTCATTGTCATCACAGATAGAACATGCTGTTGATATGACCGACAGAGAGATTGAGCAAGCCATGCTAAAAGCTGATGATTATGGTCCTAATATATACATGCTTGAGCACCAATTTGCCATAAATTTATTTTCTTTAGGATTTTGAACGAATATACTGTCATGCCGTGGATACATTAAACATAGAAATACAATAAATAATACGCTTCATAGGAAAAGTGACACTGCCTCCGTAGATGCTGGGCATATCTACCCTTTAACAACAAATTCACTAGTAGCTACAAGAGATAGGATTGTTATGACACATCGTGCTCAAGCTGTAATTTCTAATATGGAATCATCGTCGTCGATATCATTGCTTCGTTTGAAAAGGTATAAAATAGGGCAAGAGGGTAATTTTTAAAATGTCCACTCGATGAAACGTGAGTAACCATTCTTGAGAATTAAGTACCTTTCGGAAAAATCGCAGATTCATTTGAAAAATTTTATAAATCTAGGGGTTTTTAAAATACCTGTTTAGGGAATCACGAGTACTTGTTCTTGGTAATTAAGTACTGTTCGGGGAAAGTAAAGTACCGTTTGGGGAAATGCTTGCTTGTGATTTTACATTTTTTGCAGGTACATTAAAGTCATGTTGTGTCTTTTAAGACCACGAGTTAAATAATTCATTTTTGCTCGATAGCTGTTGTGTCTGGCAACACTGACCGATGAATCTTTTATGACAGCTGGGAAAGTTGACATTCTCTTGGTGCTCACTGATGGAGCTGATGCCGGGAGTTGCTGAAATTTTTGGTGATTTGTACTTGTAAATAATTTAAAATTTTTTGACCTTTTAAATTTATAACATAATTTAAAAATATTTATGATTTGAAATTTAAAATATTTGAAAATTTGTGGCTTTGAAATGTCAGCTTTTAGGGTTTTAAACACAACTTGAAAATTTGGTGCTTCAAAATTCAGGCTCTTATGGATTTTTTTTTCAAAAGAATAATTTAAACTTTGGGGCTTTCACAATTGAAATCTTAGTGTTTAAAATTAAAAATGAGAAATTTCAAACTTAGGTTTCAATGGTTGAAAATTAACCCAAAATTAAGCTTTTCATAACTAAGAGCCCACAATTTAAAATTACTTCAAAATTTAGGTTTTTAAATTTATACTCTTAGATTTGAATCATTTAAATATACCAAAATTGACCCAAATATTAAATATTGGTGCTTTCAAAAATACTTTAATATATTTGGGGCCTTAGCTAAATTTAAAATTGAAATTTCAAAATTCAGAAGGCTAAGCATAAATTGAAATTAAAATACCCTTATTTGAAAACTGTTTGACTTGAAATTGCTCGCCACTGGATTCACAATACACCTACTGGCGAATAGAAGGCAGTCTCTCTTAAAACCCAAAGATGTAACCTTGCATGCTCCTCAACGAGAAAATATTTAAATAAAAGCTTTTAGTTTCAAATGGCTTTAAAGGTTTCAAAGCCTATACAAACTTCATGGGTATTCCTTAATTCAAATAAAATGTCTTAGAACTTTGACGAATTTTTTTGAGGCTTATGTGAATGATAAGTTGGATTTTTTAGTTATATATGCTTTAAAATTTTTATCAAAGTGAGTCAACTATGCATTGTTTCAAAATCTCGCATGCCTTTTAATGTACATTTCATTTGAACTTCATAGTTTAAAGATTGTGCAAGTTTTCAAAATCTATTAAATTGTTTAAGCTATTTAAATATATGAAATTGAAAAACCGCATGTGCTTCATCGAAGTGAACTAAATATTTAACATTAAACAATTTCAGAATGTTGTGCTGGTTAAAATGAAGTTTTCACTCACTTCATCTGATAAGTGTGCAATATTCATTTGAAAAATTTAAGGTTTTAAACTTAAAGAACCCTCATATACTAAAAGTTAAAACCAAGATAATTAAACTATGAATGCTATCCATCGGGCTTCACTGTTTAGAGGACATAGTTGTAAGTCCCGCCCAACTAGTCCGATTCTCCTACTCACAAGGATTCTAGTAAATTTAATAATAAATGTCTAATTTATAACAATACAAATTTGTAAGTTTAAATCACCTAGTCAGATTATCCTTATAAAGACAATAGCATAGTTGTAAGTCCCTCCCAACTAGTCCGATTCTCCTACTCACAAGGATTATAGTAAATTTAATAATAAATGTCTAATTTATAAGAATACAAATTTGTAAGTTCAAATCACCTAGTCAGATTATCCTTATAAAGACAATAGTGAATAAAACTTATCTGTTAAAAAACCTAAATCTAACAAACTTCAACCGAATTAGTTTTTTCCAAACCAATATTAAATCCATCATGTCATCGGTCTTACCCGAAACCACTAAGGTACCATGACTTTTAGAGAAGATAACTCACTCCCGCGTTCTCACCACCTCACAAACGCTCAACGGAATTAGTTTTTTTCAAGCCAATATTAAATCCATCATGTCATCGGTCTTACCCAAACCACTAAGGTACCATGACTTTTAGAGAATATAACTCACTCCCGCGTTCTCACCACCTCACAAACGAGGCTTTCAAGGCTGGCATCAACTTCTTCGACAACGTTGTGATATATCTGATGCCTCAACCTAGAGAAACTCAACAAAAG